TTCAAATACTTTCGAACATCCTTATTGTGTCTGAACAGACGATTTTTATTCAGAAATAGCTAAAATAAATGTTTCACATCGACTTCAAATTTGTTCAATACATATTCTAGATCAGATAGATTGCATATAGTGAGGTAGACATGATTGTAACAATGGTACAGCATCAAGCAGATAAGATTTTTAATATCACTGATTGAAGAACAAAGAAGCTTTATCCAGTCCAGTCTCGTCTTCCATACGCATTTAGAACTCTGTTTATTTAGAACGTGTTCAAAAACGAATGCTCTTCTTCAGTTTACTGTATGTATTTTTTATTTTTCGGCTAAGTATATGTGTCAACAGTCTTCCAAATAAGATACAAAAAATCTTTTTTGCGACCTTCGTTTATGTCTTTTGACATACCAGAATAACCATCAGGTGTCTCCTGGACCGAGTTACTTGAGCGTAATAGGTTAATCTCACAAATCTTTTTACTTGTCCGTTGGTTTTTTATAGGCTTAACGTATCGAAAATCTCCACCAGTGCCTTTTGCAATGTCGTCCCAGTGTTGTTTTGCTTGCGATTGCACATAGATGGTAAAACTTGTAGCGGCATCTTTCACATTTGTTGTGTACTCAGGGACAAGCCATGTATATCTATGGTACAAAATAATCGACGTGCATGTTTAAACACCCTCACCCTAAAAAAAGTACTTACTTTCCACCAAAGCCTTTATTTAGATCACCGGAATTAACATCGTTTTGTTTATTTATTTCTTGTACCCAATTCTCTTCTGATGCATCAGATGGATTATTGCCATATCTGACCTGTGGAGAGAATAGTTGTAGAATACTCTTCCAAATTGTATAAGTTACAACGCGGATACTCACTTGGAGATCTCGAATTAACTCGATAGTTTGCACATCAATAAAAATGTGGACGTCTTTATCGTCTTGTTTATCATTAACTAAAGCTCCTGGATAAACAACACCTGGTGCCATAAAATATATTTGATACAACGCTAACCGAGTGTTAGCACGGACTACATCTACATGATGTATGAACATTATAAATAAATTTAAGATTATACAAATCGAACTTACGTTTGTATTTTTCTTCAACTTCCCATTCACGTTCATGGTTCTTAGTTTCTTGCATATGTTTTGACATGAAACTGCAAACTTTTTCTGAATTCTCAAAACTAGAACCAATACTTGCCGACAGTAGCTTAGTTGTGGCACCAAGACTGAATGAAACATTATCTGTATTGGTTTTAGTTTTTGCAGTTTCATCCACTGTCTCCACCACGGTACGAACTGTGTACAATTCTCTTATTTTTTCCGTCTTCTCACGTTCCGCTGTTGCATCTTTCTCTATGTGGTTGAAATCAAAGATAAGTTCCCAATGTAATTTGCCTTTGAATTCTACTTTTGTTGATTTTACCCGTTCATCTGCCATGATGATGTTAAATGTAATAGAAAAGAATTATATTTTTTTCAAATGATAATAGACAGAGACCGGCGAGCACAAATCTATTTTATACTGATGATTATTTCTTCCTTTCTTCATGACGAAAGAATAGAATGAGAAACTTTCAACTTATACATCTATGATTCACATTCTGTACGGTGCTC